GGTTCCTCCCATCCCCTCAATGGACCTGAATCCAATTTAAACAGGATAAAGACAGATTTTTGATGCAGCTCATCTTGAATAATCAACTGATACTTAGCAAAACCATCAAAAGACCAAAAATCCCAAACTTGTATAGTCCTGTTTAAGAAAAAGGAGAAAAACACAAGCATTTTTGGTTTTTTTTTAAAGCACAACCTTTAACAAGTTTGACTAAAAATCCCATGTAATTAAGCTGTCTGTTTTGAAATGAACCTTAACTAGAAACTAGACTCAACCGATAATGTAGCACCAGCCCCAGCCCTAATCCCTGTGGGTGTGTAGCCACATGACAAGCCACCACAGTTCCAATCCCTGCATGTACTAGAGCCTGACCACACTGGCCAGGCAAAGACCAGCTCCTCCCTGTGTGCTGTCTTAGCCTCTGCATTATAAAACCCAACATTTATTGAGCTCTTCCGTTTCAGGATCTGTGTACCTTCTTATTTAACCCTCACAATAACCTATCAAGGCAGATACTGTTTATCTCATTTTCTATGTCCATTCTCAGGAAATTTCTGGCTTATGTAGAGGTTAATGTCAATCACTTATGCATGCGTCCTTCCTTACTAGTTCTAACCAAAAGAGTAGGAATGCAATGAACCGAAAAGCAGTCAGGGATCAAAGTTTTCATATACTTTATGGAGGCTAATCACACCAGCTATAGGGTCCCTGAAAGTGCTGGATTAGAGAAAGTAATTTGGAATTGAAGCCAAAACAAACAAGGCTTCCTATACCCTCCTGGCAAAGCTGAACCTTCAGACCAGCCACTGGAGTGTACTGGGTCTGCAGGTAGACTCTTCAACACATCTCCAGCCAGCAGGGTGTGATGGATGGGGCCCGACTCACACGACCAGTCAGCAGCAGGAGAGCGTGCTGGGAAGCACAGGAGAGAAATGGCTTCTAGAAAGCAGGCACTGTGCGGGTCTATCTGCTTGGCAGAGCCCACTGTCTCCCTCTAACAATCTGCCTGGGAGAGCAAGATCCTACTTCTGGATCTTAAACATAGCTTCACACATATTTCTCAAACATAACTATCCCCCTGGCACCATTTAGAAAGGTTTAAAAAATTGCAGTGATCGAGCCACACCCCAGAGCAACAAGACCAGAATCTCTAGAGCACAAGTATGTTTAAACATTCTCCAGGCAACTGCAATGTGTGGCCTAGGCTGAGAACCTCAGCTTCATAGGTTTGGTAACCGATCCCCTCGTTATGCCTCCGGTCATAAGTAGCACTTTTTGAGTGGCTACGTTTAGGGGAGGTATTGACAAAATCCTCATCGTAACTCAAGAGGCAGATATGATAGCACTCACAGATGGGAAGAGTGGGGCTCAGAAAAGCTAAGTGACAGGCCTGGGATTGCAAACTTAGTATTGTCTCGTGAGCCGGATACTTAACCCCTGTACACTTTTCTGTTGCTTTTTGTGGATGCCCTGGTCCCAGCAATCTCTCCAATCAGATCATACAATTTCTCTCTTTGTAGGGAGGAGCAAGTGAGATTTGGAGAAATTGGAACAGTTCATTCCAATACTCCCTCATTAAAGAATACACTCCTTCTGTGGAAGTTAAGGAAGAATTCTAGATTCTACTAGCGATTTTGGAAAATGTGTGGTAGGGAGTAATAATCAACAGTCAGAGTTGGTTAAATTGTCAAGGAGCTAACACCAAACAGCACAATCTTTTAACAGAATTGCTTTATAGTTTTCAACAGCCATTCTTGGAATCTTGAGACTGAAAATAAGAAAACCGGATAGCACATATGAAGATAAGGCTAAGAATCCTGAAGAAAGAGGCCAATGGAGATTATGGGGATAAAAGAATCAAAGTCCCTTGTGAACTACCAATGACCTTACAAGCTCAGTCAAGAAAACCACGAACAGAAGCCTAGAAGACTGGGAGGGGCTGAAAGGCTGCAGGAGAGGTAAGGTAAAGTTCACATTCTGAGGCACAGAGTCAGAGGAGGAAAGGTCATGCATTAATTATAACTCCCATATTTAAAAGGCAGAGACAAAACAAGAATCAATCTTTCCTTATTTAATATTTTTAAACTCAGCAAAAATAAACATATAAATTGAATCTTGCTTTATACAAGCTTGCTGAAAGTATGTACTGGTAAATATTAATGTCAAATAATGAGTTAATTTTTCTAGAAGAAATTTTAGCACTGAAGAGGGTTTACTAGTAAGTAATGTTTATGGTAACTTCTATATAGCAAACAATCATTCTAATTTATTCTTTTTGCAAGTTAGAATTTTCACATAGTGAATTTGCAGGACATTGGCATGTCATTTGATCTAAGGGAAAAATGTGTGATAGGGAGTATCTCATGACAATAGTGTATTGCAGGGTCCTCAAACTACGGCTCGCAGGCCACATGCAGCCCGCCGAAAACATTTATCCGGCCCACCAGGTGTTTTTGCTGCCGCTGTGTGCATAGGAATTTGTTCATAGTTTTTTTTTAAACTATAGTCCGTCCCTCCAAGGGTCTGAGGGACAGTGAACTGGCCCCGTTTAAAAAGTTTGAGGACCCCTGGTGTATTGGAACAGTTGATGAGCAACAGACAACAGAATTCCTGTCCATAGATGTGCTTCCTTGTTTTAATTCTTTCTTTCCAAGCTATGAATCATTATTCCCGAATGAGTAGAAAGCTGAAAGGAGGACAAGACTCCACCCATCTGTGCCAGGACAAAGCTGCATCCAGCTTGTGAAATAATCTGCATCTTCAGAACTGCACCCATTACCTGCTCCTTTTGTTGCTAGGAAACTCCGGGAAGTGTTGCAATTGGCAAATCAGGTTAATTCATTTCTGATGAAAGGCAACACGGTTACATTTTAAAATGCCCTCACATTATGTACTTTATAGTCAACTGAAGATGACTGGATCTATGTTATAAATTTTAACTGCCAGTCTACAATGTGATGTCATCTTTGGGATAGGAAAACAAACTCTGAATTGATTTGCTGTATGATCATATCATTCTTCTCACTTGTGTGACTAAATCAGGTCACCTATAAGTGACTTATCAAGTCTATCCCCCCCTCCCCCCCAACAAACACACACACCACACATACACTAATATTTAGAGCAGGTAAAACTTTAACACATTACTATTAAATTCTTGAGACTCTGGTGTATCATGACATGGACAGCAAGTACAGAGTTAACTGAACAAATACATTCTTCTAAAATAATGCCATTTTATTGTTTAAACTTTTACTATTTATATGCCTATCCCTAAGACATTTTGAAATGAGTCTTTTGCTAAAAAGCATATAGAACATATTCACATCATTTAGTTATGAGGTTAGAAACCATAAAAATTAAGATTTTAAAACAGGTTTCTTAAGTTGCCATAAAGCTCATGTTCTGAAAAATCTGAAAATTAATTTTTTACTTTGGGGGTTACTTTCAAAGATTAGATGAAAAGAGATTAATAGGACTTTACTTGCCACTCATTTTATGTATTAGTTTAACTTTAAAAAGTAGCCAAATACCAGTAATTCATATGATTCTACCTCTTTAGAATCATAGGGCAGCTGAAAAACTGTAGTTTTCATATCAAATGAAACAACACGGCCCTATGTATTCCACAGAAAAAAGTCCTCACAAGAGAGGATGAACTCAGCTATTTTGCAATGTGCTTCAAGTATTAACTACAACACCCATTTAGCACCAAGGCTTATGGTGCTAGCTTTCCATATTACAGGATGCTACTTGTGAGGCTGTGACCCAGTTCTGACTGGGTTTCTGGACTACAATGACAGTCACAGATAACTTTGGAGTGACAAGAAGCAGGGACCACTGTTTAAATTAATTCCCAACACAAAAATGCCCTGTTGTTCAACAATTTAAAAATCCTATTCCCAAAAGTGTTGTTTGCTCATTTAGCTTTTCTCCTGTCTATAGGACTGGAGGGCAATGACACTTCAAGAGTTAGGAAGAGAGAGAAAAGTGAGCAGCAAGCCATTTCATAGGCAATCAGCTGCAGAGTAATACTGGCTTTGCTGGAAATCCAAAGCTGACTCGAGTATTTCTTTAATGTACAACACAAATCCACAGCCTTTAAGTGAACTTATGAAAAACTAGCCACATTAAGTATGATAGAGATCACAATACGACTTTGAAAACATGTTTTAAAACTGCGAAACATTTGACATAGAGTCTTTCATTTTCTAGTGGGTGTTGAGGTTCCCATAGTTCTTGGAAGATAAAACAGAGAGCCAAACACTGGGCATAAAAATAGGCCTATAAAGAAAAAAAAAAAAAAACATTTTCCACAAAAATGCTCATTTAGAATCTTGTACTTCTTTATCCTAACATATTGAGATTTAAATCAACTGAGTCTCTTCTCATTTTTAAGTTTATTTTGTATAAAAGACAGATTTAGGATATTGTAAGAAATCACTAAGTTACATTTTTAAAAAAATCTGTCAAGTATTATAGTAATGAAATAAATAAATAAGATTTTTAAAAGTTCAATGTTTATAGACATATTTATCAAAAAATGACTGAATTAGAAGATATTAAATAATGCTGATACACACCAGAAAGGGACTTAGGCAAGGAA